CCCGGAGGAGCTGGAGGAAGTGTCTGGAGAGAGGGAAGTCTGGGCGTCTTTGCTTAGACTGCTGCCCCCGCGACCCGGTTCCGGATCAGCGGAGGAAAGTGGATGGATGGATGGATAATCATAAACTAGAGGGTTAAACATCTCTAAAAGGAAGATCCTTTACTTAAGTTAGGATAAGACTATCCTTCAAAGTGATAAAAGCTGCATGAAGAATCATTAGCTTGTGTCTCAGTAGCATTAAACCAACTGCAAGAACTATGTACAGTCCATCTTTAGACACCTCTTTCACCCTGGGTAAACTCTTTATCTGAATGGCACAACACTAAATACAACTTCACAGGGATAATAAAGAAATTCTCACACCACACTGCCAGGTTCTTCAAATCAACAGAAGAAAAACATTCAGGCTAGATAAAAGCACTCCATAATCCATAGCACTCCTCATAGTACTGTGTCTGACCTACTAACACAGACTGCACACCTCAATGCATCAAAAGCATGGATGCAGTTTGTATTGGCTTATTTACATACCTATACATAATGTCAGGTTTGCCTGGTTGCACCTGCCTTTCTCACTTCCCTCACTCTGTTTTGGCTTCTTTACCCTGATTACACTATCTGGCACACCTGCTTCACCTCCCCTGATTATCACCAGCTGCACCTGATTAGTTCCTCCCTACTTATACCCCGCTCACCGTTCACTCCCTTGCCAGTTCTTTCTTGACTCTCAGGCCCGTCCTTGCGCTCATTATTTTATGTCTACCAGTTGCATTGTCCAAGTCCTTACGTTTTTCCCTAGCTCCTGCCAGCCCTGTTTTTTTTCCCTCGCCTCCATAGTCTTGTTTCCGTCCCTGCTACACCTTCCTCCTCCACGAACCTCTCTTCCGAACCTGGAACTACTCAACCCTGCCAGTCTCCACCATACAGGTCGATGCACAGTCATCATTAACTGTTTGTACTTACATCTGTCTTCTAAGCCATCATTGCTTCAAACCACGACCAGTTCAGGAGTGACCCCAGCGTCCGCAGCCCGGGCCATCATCATTCATCGCACAACTGACTGTTTTCCCTGCTGCTGCACGACTCCCAGTTACACTCCATCTCCGTTCACCTGTCTAGTTACCTGTCTGTTATTATTACTGTAAATAAATTAGCACTGCTTGCACCAAAGTCAGCTACCTGGGTCCATCTATTCTTACTTGCTCACCTCCGTGTCCGAGCGATCTTAACACATAACAACATCTTACTAGCACAACCGCAGACTATGTTGTGCTTGTAAAAATTATACATACAGTGCCTTGCGAAAGTATTCGGCCCCCTTGAACTTTGCGACCTTTTGCCACATTTCAGGCTTCAAACATAAAGATATAAAACTGTAATTTTTTGTGAAGAATCAACAACAAGTGGGACACAATCATGAAGTGGAACGAAATTTATTGGATATGTCAAACTTTTTTAACAAATAAAAAAACTGAAAAATTGGGCGTGCAAAATTATTCAACCCCCTTAAGTTAATACGTTGTAGCGCCACCTTTTGCTGCGATTACAGCTGTAAGTCACTTGGGGTATGTCTCTATCAGTTTTGCACATCGAGAGACTGAAATTTTTGCCCATGCCTCCTTGCAAAACAGCTCGAGCTCAGTGAGGTTGGATGGAGAGCGTTTGTGAACAGCAGTTGTCAGTTCTTTCCACAGATTCTCGATTGGATTCAGGTCTGGACTTTGACTTGGCCATTCTAACACCTGGATATGTTTAGTTGTGAACCATTCCATTGTAGATTTTGCTTTATGTTTTGGATCAGTGTCTTGTTGGAAGACAAATCTCCGCCCCAGTCTCAGGTCTTTTGCAGACTCCATCAGGTTTCCATCCAGAATGGTCCTGTATTTGGCTCCATCCATCTCCCCATCAATTTTAACCATCTCCCCTGTCCCTGCTGAAGAAAAGCAGGCCCAAACCATGATGCTGCCACCACCATGTTTGACAGTGGGGATAGTGTGTTCAGGGTGATGAGCTGTGTTGCTTTTACGCCAAACATAACGTTTTGCATTGTTGCCAAAAAGTTCGATTTTGGTTTCATCTGACCAGAGCACCTTCTTCCACATGTTTGGTGTGTCTCCCAGGTGGCTTGTGGCAAACTTTAAACGACACCTTTTATGGATATCTTTAAGAAATGGCTTTCTTCTTGCCACTCTTCCATAAAGGCCAGATTTGTGCAGTATACGACTGATTGTTGCCCTATGGACAGAGTCTCCCACCTCAGCTGTAGATCGCTGCAGTTCATCCAGAGTGATCATGGGCCTCTTGGCTGCATCTCTGATCAGTCTTCTCCTTGGAGCTCGAGCTGTTTTGCAAGGAGGAATGGGCAAATATTTCAGTCTCTCGATGTGCAAAACTGATAGAGACATACCCCAAGTGACTTACAGCTGTAATCGCAGCAAAAGGTGGCGCTACAAAGTATTAACTTAAGGGGGCTGAATAATTTTGCACGGCCAATTTTTCAGTTTTTTATTTGTTAAAAAAGTTTGAAATATCCAATAAATTTCGTTCCACTTCATGATTGTGTCCCACTTGTTGTTGATTCTTCACAAAAAATTTGTTTTATATCTTTATGTTTGAAGCCTGAAATGTGGCAAAAGGTTGCAAAGTTCAAGGGGGCCGAATACTTTCGCAAGGCACTGTATGCTCACTTCAGCATATGACAAATAAATTTACTTGAACTTGAAAAAGCAATTGTACAATATAAAATACCATATATAATATACTAAACACCTTATTACAATGAAAGTCACTTAAAGCACAATGTACTCAAATACCATAAGAGTACTCATAATTGAGAAAAGTAGCACTTGTTTACCTACCAAGATATTTACACATTATGTTCAAAAGCATAGTTTTTTGCTGTTTTCACCAAAGATCCATGAGTAACAGTTTTGTGATATGGTTTTGAACGCAAACCAAAGGCATGAAAGGTGTGACGTGTTGAATAGCTTTAGGAATAAGTGGTACAGATAATGGATGGATGGTTTATATTATATTTAACAGGGTCGCAGGAGGGCTACAGCCTGGGCGAGAGGCAGGGTCCACCCTGGACAGGTCGCCAGTCTATCACAGGGCTGACACTTAGAGACAGACAACCACACACTCACTCACCCACTCCTGTGGGTAATTTAGAGTTACCAATTGTTACGTCCGTGGCCCAGACCAACCCCAGCACCTGGCACAGGCTGTCACAGTAACTCCACCCCCACATAGGTGGGAATGCATCCTAGGCGGCAAGGCACACCTGCTCTCAATTACCAGACTAGCACTTAAGGGGAGCGTTGGTGCACCCTCGTTGCCAGATGATCTCTTGTATTCCTGCCGGTAACCTGTCTTTGCTCTCATCACTAGGATTCCCTATGTGTGAACTGTTTTCTATGTTATTGGACTTCATTTCAGGTGACACTCCTCAGGACGAGGAGACCAACTCTTGCTGGGACTGGTTGCCTGGCTCTGGATCCCAACTGTCAGCCGTCCTCACACCCTCCTGCTACCTGCTCTACTGTCCGCTGTGAGCCTGATTCTCACCATCTACTGCACGCCAGACCAGTGATCTCCTGTGCCAGCTCCTACACCTCCTCTGGACTGTGTTTCATGCCTATGGCGTTCACCTGACTTGAGCCAGTAAATTCTGCTACTCAGGCCCTCAGTATACTATCAGTATTGCCATAATCTTAGCATCACTTTTACTCATTCTCATCCTCTGCTTTTCTTTAGCCAGCTGCGCCTCTCCTACAACCTCGGGTTGTAGCTCTAGCAGTCCAGTCAACCCAGCACTCCCCGCTGTCCTGAGATCAGCTGACGAGACCGGTTCTGACCACTCATCATTTCTGTAGTCATTAAAATACTGGTTAAGCCTGAGTCCGAGTTCTGCTTTTTTACTGAGTCCGACCTAGTATACGTATATACGGTTCTCCGTAACACCTATCAACCTAAGCTGCATGTCTTTGGACTGTGGGAAGAAGCCAGAGTATCCGGAGAGAACCCACGCAGGCGAACTCTGCACAGAAGGGCTCCAGGTTCACCTAACAAGGATAAGGCAGGTGAACACAATAACAGTGGCCATGACAGAATTAACAAGAGCCAGACTAGGGGTGTAAAATGCCTGAGCAAGACTAATTACAGAGTGTATAAACAAACAAAAGGGTAATGCAAGGCTTTACACAGTAGGCACATACTAAAAAAACTAAATGACTCTAAATAGAAAAAGCCTCAGCAATACAATAAAACAATGAAAACAGGACAGCTAAACTAATAGTAGCAATACACTTAACAAAAGAACAAAAATTCCCAGGCATAAACTAGAACTTAAATTAAGTCTAGACAGGCAGAAACACAACAAGGACAACAGTACAGTACAACAGTTTGTTTTGTCTGAGTTGTCTATTGTTGTATATTTTAATGCTTGGGTGCAAAGGAAAATTTGAAAGTTGGAGTTGAAGTATAACAAAGAACACTGACGAATAAATAAATTATTTAAAAAAACACCTCAGTGAGTGCATGAATCTGAGGGGCATGAGTCCAAATATGAAAAAAAGGTGGCACGAGTCCATACTTGAACATTAAAGTCATGAGTCCTTACATCTCAAAATTATTACAGTTGCTACTGTTTTTCACAGTAACCTGCTGGAACATATGACATATTTTACAGGGCGGCCTCTGACCTCAATAAGCATCCTCACTGGTTCATTAGCTGCAGGCCTAGTAAGGACATAAAGATATGTGTAAAGCTGCCACCTGTCCAGACTCAATAACTTTTTGAATTTGATTGACTCAACCACTCAAGTTGCACCACTGATTGCAATGAACTTTCCCACTAGAACTTCCATTCTCCATATTTTAATCAGCTCATTCTCCAGATGAAAATGGGTGGGGGGAAAAAAGAAGCCTTTCATATTCTGTTCCAAAAAGGAACTCAATTAAGAGGTCCCAAAAGGACCCTTTAATGGCTTATGAGGCAAGTAGTGATGAAAGAGACAGTGGTTATAAATATTTCAGGTAATTTTGTTATCTATTCATCTTTTCTTCCATATCTAATCAGCGATCTGTATCATTATTCCACAGCCGGATTGTACTCGCTCGTATTGCTGTTGTTCCATGACACACTCTGATTCTAGACAATGTGTTTTGTGCAGTGTTTTACTGATTTCATTTTATGTTTTATATAGTCAATAGTGTAACAATTTCCAATATTTCCTTATACACAAATGTCAGTTTTGTCTTCTGTCACAGAATAATATAACATTTATTCAGTTTAATGTGTAACAATTTGCATTAAAGTTGTTACATTTCCAAACAGCATGGGTCAAGCACATTGGGTTACATTTATAAAGGACTGCCTATCTGTGGTTCTGACTTATAAATGTCAGAGACTGCACCTATATACTTAATTTTGCAATGATATTCACAGTTGGCCATGAATGGACACAGACACGCCTCTGATGAGCTTATTTTTGTCTGTTCCATCATACGGAAGGCAAGGAAAAGAAATTACACATGTACCAGCAAACCATCATCAGTGGTGATTTCTAAGTCATCATCATCAAAGGCCCAAAAGGGAATTGGTAACATTTAGCTAATGACATTTTTATTAACACAAAGCTTCATAAAGACAGGAGAACATGAAAAACTAAGACAAAAAAAATAAGGCAACTTGAAACACAAATGCTGACAATAAAAATCTGCAGCAGGGCATGTATAGCAAGAGAGGGTGTGTGCTATATCGCCATAATAGGAGTGAGGGAAATTGAGCAGTCAAAAATGAGCGGTAACAGAACCCAGATATATTCAACATGGGTATTTGTTGTTATGGTAAATACAAACATGTTAGGGTTATTAATTTTATGGAGTCACTTCCTCTTATGCAAACATATACATTTAGCAGCTGTCTAAGGCTTCACTTGTCACTTAAAGCATTCTGCATCCAGATAAAAACCAGGTTAGAGCTAAGACACTATTATCCAGATTGCACATCTAATTATAGTTAATATTTTATCTTGTTTTCTTTTTCTTTTTTTTTGTTTTTTTGTTGGCTACATGCAAGTCCTGCAGTTTAGAAGAAGGTGGCATTATACCTGAAGCTGGTTGGCAACTACCAAAAATGCCAGGAGAACAAGAGGTTCAACATCCCGTAAATAAAGTTGGTATTTTCATGATGATTGCTGCCTTAGCTTTATATTACCATACTAACATTGGCCTCAGGACAGCTGATGCTGATGAGGATTTTATTACTTTTAGAGAGGTAACTGGTCATAAAACAAAGTCTTGGAGAAATCAAATTTCAAAATGATTGTGCCACTAGATTAAACGCTAAGGGATCCCCATGGTTATCATAGATCAACCTGAGACATACATAAACGTACCTAATTTCAGTTGTTGAAACATTCCACTCTAAACCACAATTTTCAAACTCACAATGTAGAATCTGTTCCATAAATACCGGTAACAAACAATTTGTGGCAGATTAGCTGTTGAGATACTTTGAATGCTGCACAGTGTGGTGTCAATTCCTAAGACCTGCTGGGATTCGTAACAAGGAGGAGTACTTGTCTTAGAGGCTGGGTGTCTATGTGGGGATGCTCATTTTCCAGTCACTCTTCTCACTAGCCTCTCTAGTTATCACACCCTGTTTCTAATGAACAATATAAAACACAAGATTATAAATATTCCTTAATAAAAATGATAAAACATACTTGGAGTAACACACAGTGTGAATGGTGTGAATGGTTATACAGATTGGTTATACATTTACATCACAGGGTAAAAAAAACTGCATATTTTCTCGCTTCATATTCTCTCATATTGACATACTCCTGCCATCATGGCTAAGCATTTTTACCATGTGCATGTTATGTAAAATAAATCACAATTTATGTCTTTTGTGATTTCAAGATCTTTAGATTAGATTAGATTCAACTTTATTGGCATTATACATGTACAAGTACAAGGCAACAAAATTTTAGCAGTTTAGCATCTAACCAGAAGTGCAATAACAGCAGTGCAGAGTGCACAGTATCTACAGTCAGTACTAATTTACTGATAGATATGTACAATTGATATATACAGTAAGTTATGTAAGGTAATGTACAATATACAACAGACTTTATGGATTTACAGTAAAAGACAAGTAATGGATAAAATACATTAAGCTTATAAAACACTAGTGCAATGGGATGAAATTGAATGAAATAGTGCAGAATAAGAAGATAAACAATAAATTACATGAATTAACAGTTCAAGGGATGTAAATAATAAAGATAAAGATAAATATACAGTATCTGCATATGTACAGTACAGTGTGCAATGAATAACAAAGCATTATTCTGTGAGTATGTGTAAATTAACGGATTGCTTCAGTATTACAGGTAACAGAAGTGTATTGCATTAGTCCCAGGAGGAGAGATGAGAAGGGGTGAGGTGTGTGTAGTGGTATGGAAGAAGGCAGTGGGGGTCAACGGGGGACAGAGTTCAGTAAGAAGACAGCTGTGGGGAAGAAGCTGTTCCTGGATCTACTGCTTTTGGTTCAGAGGCTCCTGAAGCACCTCCCAGAGGGCAGGAGGTTAAACAGTTTGTGAGCAGGGTGAGAGGAGTCCTTGAGAATGCTACTAGCACATCAGAGACAGCGTTCCCTGTGGACACCCTCAATGGCTGGAAGTGGAGTCCTTGTGATGCGTTGGGCAGTTTTCACCACCTGCTGCAGCACCTTGTGGTTGGAGACAGAGCAGTTTCCATACCAGACTGTGATACAGCTGGTCAGGATACTCTCGATGGCACAGCGGTAGAAATTCACCAGGATGGCTGAAGACAGGTGGTTCTTCTTCAGTGTCCTCAGGAAGAAGAGGCACTGGTGTGCCTTCTTAACCAGTCTGTGGGTGTTGGTGGCCCAGGACAGATCCTCTGAGATGTGCGTCCGAAAGAAATTTGAAGCTGGAGACACGTTCAGCAACCATCCCGTTAATATGGATATGGTGTGTGCCTCCTTTCTCCCTCCTGTAGTCCACAATGAGCTCCTTGGTCTTGTTAGTGTTAAGGATCAGGTTATTGTCAGCGCACCACACAGCCGGGTGCTGTACCTCCTCCCTGCAGGCTGACTCACTGTTATCGCTGATGAGGCCAATCACCGTGGTGTCGACTGCAAACTTGATGATGGTGTTGGAGTCATGCACGGGCCTGCAGTCATGGGTAAAAATCGAGCAGAGGAATGGGCTCAGCACGCAGCCCTGTGGTACGCCAGTGTTGAGGATAATGACGGAGGAGCAGGTGTTGTGACACAGGCCTCAGCATTTTGGATCAGAAAAGGGGGCCACTGTGGTTCAGTGGGTAGAGCAGTCCTCTCCCAACCAGAGGGGCAGAGGTTCGAATCTCAGTGCCTGCAGTCCACATGTTGAAGTGTGGTTTCAGTGAAAATCATAATATTGCAGTCCATAAGTCTCTTACTGTTGGTGATGTGAAGAGGTATTTCGTCCATCTTGTTCACCTATTGCTGTACATTGGTCAGGAAATGCTGGGTAAAGAGAGCTGATGTATTTTAATGATTTAAATAATCTGCCTCCTCTAGTTGCTCACTGACAACATCAAGCACGGAGCAAATTAATACAATTCTCAGTAGCCAGAACAAATAGCACAGGGACGCTTGAGATGAAGCTAAATGTGATTTAATACATTACCTCTGAACATGCCCACTATGGGGCGCCGAATGTAAAAATAACACTTACACTAGTTTTCTCACATTTAGCTGAATGTGACAAGTTTTCTCACATTTAGCTAAATGTGACAAAGTCTAAATGTAAATGTTAAATATAAATGTAAATGTTAAA